GCAAATTGACACATTTAACTATTCTTCAATATTTATTTTTCCCAGTAAGTTATATGGTTATTTACCTGATTAGGTTTCTCAAAGTAAATTTTAATAGATTTTTTTTTTTTTTCCCCAGTGAAGGTGAGTTCAACGATTATGTAAGGCAGAGGCCAGCCAGCCAGAGCCTTGCCAGTACCCCTCAGTCCTGGCTTTCAACACAGTTGTTATTCCAGTAATGTCTCTCTCTCTTAAGCTGCAGCTGCCAACTCTGTTCAAATGTGTGGTGGTTTTCTGCTATGGGCAAAGAGCCACCAAGACTGAAGCTGGATCCACGAAACTCATTTCATGGCTAAATGCTGATTCCTTTAACCATAACTCTCCATAGGTAATAAATGGTTGAAGTATGACACAAAACAGCCCTTCTTTGGGGGTGTGGGAGGTAGGTACCTCTCTGTTCTGGAGTATGAAAAGGTTTGTTGCCCCAAAGCAACAAAATTATGTTCTACTAGTCTGGGGAAGAAAAAAACGGTAACACCCCCCACCTTTTTTTTTTTTTTTAATTGCTTTTTTCTTGGTTGAATTTTAAATGGCTATTTGTGAAGAAACTACTTTTATTCCAAACAAGGATTCATCTGTCTGCTTTTACAAGGATTAAGTCTACACCAAAAGAGAAACAAAACTCACTCACATTATTCCTGTCTGTGTGGAATTTACAATAATGAAAAGAAAGCACCTCAGCCATTTGCCATGGGGCATCTGGAAGGCTTGTGTTTTCATCTTACTAACTAGCTCCTTAAGAAGGGCAATTCACATTTTGCCTGGAAAAATCTTTGCAGACAGCAGAGTTGGCCAGCAAGAGATATGACCTCTTCAAAATCTACCCAGCATTTCAGTAAGGAGTAAAGACCAAATCTGGTAGTGGAAGACTGGTTACTAGAATAACAAACTAATTTGCTTTTATCATCCATCCCCCCTTACTTCACTGTCACAGTAAGGGTGAACAGATAAAAACTGTTGGGATCATTTAATTTTATGTTATGATGAATGCAGCTGCCTACTTTCTATACAGTAAAGATAAGGATAACAGTATTTATTCTGTCTAAACTGCTATTTATTTATACACTGAAGTTTCTCTTCTAGTTGGTGGACCTTCTTCTTTCTGTACTAATACTAGGGCCTGATATGGGAATGTTATTCTTTCCAGGATAAATTCCTAAAACTCAGTGCTCTGTCCTATAGAGGCTACTGAGTTAGCTTTGGAGGAGCTAGTTAAGATGTGAGAACCAGTTAAGGTGCCTTAACTTTGGACTCTTCCAAGCTAGTATACAATTCTTCCCTGCAGAGTTAATTAGTTTAGGCATCCAACCAGCAATTTTCACAGCAAACTAACCCAATTATCTCTGCATGATACGACATTGTGTCATGTCTGAGCCTAGAATATGTCTGTCTACATATGGGAAAAATTAACCACAGGTTGTGCCATTGAAAATAGCAATGGGTGCTCTGGGGAGAGGGATGGTTCCCTTCTGCCCTTCATGATATGAATATCTGGACTAATAATCACATAATGAGTACCTTGCTATAAGCTCAATTTTTGTGCCAACTATATTTTTTTAAAGTCAAAAACATTATAAGTAAAGGGCATGAGAAGCACAGGGTTCTAACTTCAGGATGTAGCATAAAGCAAAAGCTTTTTGACATCCGGTTCAGCATTAAGTAACAATTTTGTCATGGTTGAGTGCCTTCACTAACTTGATAACAGCCCCAATTTAAGCAGAACAGTGCAGATTTTCTACCTTGCACAGGAAGTGCTGATGAGTTGCTGGTGGCTCAGAAGAGACATGGAGATTCAAGGGAAACCTGACAACACAGTTTTATTGACAGTGTCATATTTTTATGACCTACATTACCATAGCACTTCAGATTCTCATTGTACTTAGCCATTTATTCTTGTTGTTCCTAAGAAGTGAGGAAGCATTTATCTTCCCATTTTTCAAAGGACAATGGATGTACGGGGATATTTAAAGCCTTAGCCAATGCCAAGCTCAAGATATCTGTGATAGATTTAGGATCTGACCAGTAGTCTTCAAAAAGCTAAGGTGTGCCACTGACCGACTTTCTTCTGTGACAGTTGCGAACAGTTGCTTCAACTACTATAACATATAGAAGTGCAAAGAAACAAGCACAATATGAAGCATAAGAAGGAGAACATAATTTTCTGTAAGAACTTTAGTACACATAATTACACTGATTCTAAGCATATCCTGGGCAGAGCACATAGTTATTATCAATTAAATCCTCAGGAAGCACTGCTAAGTGACCATTTAATTTAGTTGCTCAAGTTATTTTTCACACTTGGATTATAAATATCCATCACTCCAATGCTGAAAGATGAGGCATTAAACTGATTCTTTTGCTCTTAACCTCAGTTTGAGCTATATCTAGTCAGTCCACTGAAAAGTTACTTACTTTCACTATAGCCATTGCAAGTGTTTAGGCATTTCTTTATCTATTGTTTCCTGTTTTCTATCAGGAAGATAGGAATAGAATAAGATTTTCACTGTAAACCTCTCTTCTTCAACCTTAATTGAAAAAGAACCTCATCCACATAATCCATGTTAGCTCAAGGAACGTGGACTCACAGTAGCAAGGCTAGTGTTACTCTTAAAAACCTTTACATTTGAAGCTAATCCAGAACCAGTAGTATAATCCTGATACAGACCTTTTCTGACAAAACCTGCTGTTACCATTTTAGAGTACTACTTGATAATGTACAGTTTCAAGTATGGACTGGTCTTGCATCAAAGATCCCTGAAGAAATACAGTCAGTACTCTAGTCTCCTGTGTTTCTTTTCTTACAAAATAAATATCCTCTTGCAGTTGCTGGGACTTGCCCTCTAGTTTTCTGTCAGCACTGTGTCACTGTTACGGTAAATGACAGCACGACTGTTTCAGCATATTTCAAAGACCATCCAGTCAGGAAAGATGTCCCTCTCTGAAGGCACATCGTGCTTTATTTACTGATTACACCCACAGACATAATGTCAGCTTTGCGTTGATCAGTGACAGACTTTGTGTTTCATTCTCGTGGAAATTCAATTCCCTTGTAAAATCTAAAAATGGACACTGCATGACCCATTCAGCACACAGTCTTAGACCTTTTGAGTTGCATGATTTCTGGCTCCTGCTCTTCCATACAGAGTTCAGTATGAAAGGAGAGGTACCAGAATGGACACCCTTTGGCTTTATAGCACCACCAGAACCACACATTTCTGTAATAAATCAAGAAAGCGGAGTTTGTCTCTAGTAGTTGTCCTCTGAGCAACCATATAATGATAGTTTCTACTTCCCATACCTCTTACAGAGCCAGTTGTGGGATATCCACTTGCACTTAGAATAATCTCAGCTTTGTATATGATTTGGGATACCTCGGGGTGAAATGTAATATCCTATATCATATATGACACTACAGTCCTAAATTTGTTAGAGACACTGAGGAGTAATAATAGCAAGTGAAATATTTTTAAATACACGAGATGTAATTTCTGAGAGATGGTCACGCCTTTGGCATGTCCCCTTGGAGTCATTTTTACATTCCTAGCAGTTTCCTTACAGAGAACAGCATATGTTGTCATTCTTGCATATGTATATACTACAAGACATAGATAAGAATATATGTAATGGAAACAAGATCTTGTTCTGCTCACTGATCCTAAAGAATCATTTGCATTAAGGATGATGTCAAACTCCCAATTTCGAACTGACTTGTTATAAAAATGCCAAACCAAATGATGAACTAGCCTGCAGAAGACTTTCACTATCAGGTCATTTTTTTGTCCTCCCTTCTCCCACCTCCCCTTCTTTTTCCCCTAATGGATAATAACATTTGCATGAATAAAGCCTCATTAGAACTAGAGTGTTACAAACTCAATAGTATTTAAGCTGTAGATTATAACTGGCATGATAAAGGATCACAACTGTATCTTTTCTGTCAGCTTGTTCCATTAAGAACCTCTAACCATGGATCATTGATGTAACAGATCATTATGGTCCATTGTGTCAGTTCATCTGTTGGGATCTGTGCACTATAAGCATGACAGATTTCCTCTGCAGCAATTACAGTCTATTGTGACAATAGGATTTAATGAATATAAACAACAAACCACATAATCTGTTATTACAGAACACAGCTATGCACCCAGATGGGAATTAAGTTCCTAGACATTGCCAGTTGCAGTTTTTAAAATTGTCGCTATTTCAGTCTTCATGTTATTAGATGCAATGCTCTAATTTACAGCAAAGATTTATCTCAACCCTGGCAGGTGAAAGGTCTTCAGAATTTAAAGACTAATCCTGTAAATGTTCCATGATTTCATTTTTTCTGAGTAAACATTATCTTTAGGTTTTTAGACATTTACTCCTTATCTTTCTTCGTGATGTTAGCTGTGCTGTTAATGTTTCAGTACAAGCATTGTAGATGAAACAAACAAATACAGTAAATTTGTCACAGAAATTCATGAAACATAGTAGAACATTCCTGTATTGTTTCCAAAGAATAGACTCTTCTATTTAATATTAATTTTTACAAATGCTGGGCAAAGTGCTACACCAGCACAAAGCTGTAAAATCACAGTGACTGAAATTTTGCTGATTGATTCATCTGAAGGTCTGACCTAGAGGCGTGTGATATATATTTGTGAAATTAATACTCTCTTTCAAAGTACAGATTTTCCACTTTCAAATATGAGTTCTGGACTTGAGTATATCAGAGTTTACAATTGTAGTGTTGGTACAGCTATGTTTTCATCTATGCAGATGAACACTACTGGAATATATATGCTTTGTTTCAATAATTGAAAATTCACCATAAAGAATATATTAATGTGAACTACATGTGGATGAGCTATGTAAATGCCATTGTGACTCATCACAGCCATTATCATATACTTTTGAGAAGAAATCTCCACTTAAACGTATTTCCATGCACTTCTTGTATCAAAAGGAGAAAAGACTCTTACCCTTACCTAGCATGCGAACACATTTGGCATTCTGGTCAGGACTATCAAATGAGATTTCTCCGCACCTCTGAAAAATAAAAGGGATATATTTAGTTGAAGACTTTGTGATAGTATCCCTCTCCTTGTTCTCTGATACCTCTGTTTATGTTTTGGAACCAGAGATGTTCAAACACACACTGTAAAAATGTCAAAATCAAAGATTTTAAAGTAGCCAAAGGTTGAAGAAGAATGGACATTGCTAATGTGCAAGGATGGGTCAACACATTATTCCAGGGTGTTCACCAAGAAAAACTAAAGGTAACACGTATTGCCTTTGTATCTACAGCTTAAGCTACTGCTTGATTCACGTTCCTGTTTGTTACCATCAGACCCAATTATACAGGAGGCCTCATTTATCCCTAGTAGACATTGTAGCCCCCTCCAGTATACTGATTTAGCTGTCCCACAGCTGCACCATACACAGGATCTGTGAAACGATCCAGCTGAAAACCAAACAAACAGCTATACTGATCCAACAATTTATATTTCTGTAAAACGATCTTATTCTAAAAGACCCCACAACTCTTAAATATTTACTAAGGAAAGCTGTAATTTCGCAAAATTTGAACTCTCCAGAACACCTGTGAGTAAAACTGTTTTTGTAAGGTGCTAATAATTTATGTCTCTATGCTAACATGTTTTGTTAATGAAAAATAATATTCACATGTACAGATATATTATCAGGGCTGATGTTCTGATCCTGTAAAAACCCAGAGAAGGAACATCATAAGAATTAGGATCAGAATACAGAAGTGTTGTACTGTTTTCAAGGATAAGACATAATTTCTGAGTCCTTTATACAGACAGGCATGTCAGTTTAGTTGCCAGGAAAAACATAACTGTTATGGCTCATGGGTCCGATTCAGCTCCAGTTAAAGTCAGTCAGTGTACAGATCCCACTCACTGCAGTAGTGGTTGCTTCAGGTGCTACAAAAAAAATTCAACGTTGTATCATTGCACTCAAAGCTCATGATAGGGTCTTAAGGATAGCCTCATATTTTGCAGGTAAAAGTGGCCTGCACTTCCTTATCTACATATTTATAGCTTTGGTATCTATGACCAAATGGGAATATAAGCACAGTGGTTCAAATTTGGAAAAAGCACTGAGGGCTATCCATTTCCCTTCTTCTTCCTTTCTTACGCAGTTTCGCCTTTTCAGCATCTATGGTTTTCTCTATTACGTAGGACAAAGTGGTTAGTAGTCTCTTTTTTTTTTTTTTCTTTTTTTTTTTTTTTTTTGTTAATAAAAGTGACATTTGCAGCAAATATTAAAACCTACAAAGAATCAGGTAAGTAAAAAACCCCAGATCTTCAAAGAAGATGAAACACAGCAACAGTTTCATAAATGAACAACACATTTGGAACTCACTGTTTTTAAAATAGCCTTCACCTCCCTCACACCGAAATAAACACAAACAAACAAACAAAAGCCCATCTCCCACACAGAGTCTTTTCATATATCAGTACATCTAAAAAGAGCAAACAGACACTGGTATTAACCTTCCTATGTGGGAGCACATAGTACTGAAAGGTTGCAAAAGGAAAACAACACCCAGCATTTCAAAGTTAATTTTATGAATGCTCTTATACCAGATCCCTGTCAGGAGACACAGAAATTTGATATTTATTCTTCTAGGAAGAATGTTAAGATATGGGCATCTTTTCACAGAAATCTCCCAGCTTCCTCTCTGTGACCATAAGTATACTTAGACAAACACAGATGTAGGCAAGCACATCAAAATTCACTGCCTGTCTTACCCCCAAATTTACTTTGCTCTTTGAAAACCTTTGTTTTTTGTTTTTTGTTATTTTAATTTAGTCACTCATACTTACTGCATCTTTCAGACATACTTATATAAACATCACATTACAGGCTGGCAAATGATGTCTTACAATATCCAACAATACTCACCAGTCCTAGTGTTATAAAATTGGGAAAATGGCTAATGTTCCCCAGAGTACACTAACAGCCCACAGGACCCATTATGATGATGGATGAACTTTGAAAACTTTGCAAGTAAGATTAAGATAACTGTATACAAGTTCATAGCCTTATCTGAATTCCCTTAACCCCTGCAAGCCACAGAACTGGCTGAAAATCATGTTATAACAGTCATCGGAGGAGATTTTTCACTATTACCACTGCAGCTGGAAATACCAGGAAAAAAAGCTTCTGCAGCAATTTAATTTCTGATGCCAGTAAAATCTCAAGGTATAACATCAACAGGATGAAAAATAAGTTGTTACCAAACTGCTCAGAGCATCTGAAAAACCCTTAGTTGTATCTTGGATGTGTAAAGTGGCACAGAAAAGCAGCAGGGACTCATTTTTGCTCACTCAAAAAATAGAGTTGTTTGGGCATTTTTGCTGATAGAAAGTATTTTCCATGAACAAGAAGTAAGGAATGACTTCAGATTTTAATATTTAGGATTAAACTGAGACTTTGCCATCACTGCTGTGAATTCTTGCCAGGATTGGATAAGCTTCTCCTGTCCTTTTCCCGGCCTGGGTTACTTCCCTTTCTGGTTTCGGTTTGTTCCCCTTGCTTGTATATCGGGGATGGTGCTGAGAGATGAGGCCAAGCGTGTCTCCAGTTCCTATCCATTTCCAAACTAGTCCCAGAGCAGCTGCTCATTGTCTCCTGAAAATTTCTAAGTTGGCTACAGAGTCAGTCGTGGATCCATCAGAGAGGAGGAATAGCAATTTAACATTAGATGCTGGTTTTTCTACTTTTTAATTTCAACCAGTCAGAAAGCAGAGAGAGGAGGAAGAATAACCCTGGACATGTCTACTGTACATATGCAGACCTATTGCACATGTGTAGATCACCTTGTATGTCTGTTGGGGAAACTAAGAGAGAAATATGACATCTTTTTTAAAAGCTGGCTAAGCAGCCTCTAGAAGCTGCTGCTTGTAAGCAACACCATCTATATTCATAGGAGTTGGGTCTGGAAGAAGATGTTGGTTTTATGTTCCCATTTTAGAGAGATAAGAGTATCAATGTTGAGCTGTAAAGACCAAACATATTATCCAGTTTGGAAGAGCAATGAACTCAAACAGGAGAGCTGCCTCTGAACTTAATTTCTTGAAATCTATGATGAAGTTGGATTCATAGTCCTGACCTATATTTGAAGCTCATTAAAGTTCCAAGATTTCACCCTCTAAGAATATGATAGATCATATTATTGGATCTAAATGATCCCTGAGTTGGGGATATTTTAAATTTCAGTTTAGGCTTCATGGTTAGGACTACTACAGCACTGGTAGGGCTTGCTCTGCTATATGCAGTCCTGGATGTTGAGCTGGTGAGTTTATAGAAGCAGCTCTGCTGAAAATAATACCACTTGTTTTCACTTCCCCTGAAGTGAGAGACGATTTGTTGAAAATCTTAAAACACTGCTGTGTTTGGAAGTGGTTAGATTTAACAAGGAAGTGGGTAAATGCAAGTAAAATTCACCCCTCCAAATCTTCATTATACCTTTATATCTCTTGAATCACTGAATTCTGGAGTAGACTGTAGTGTTTTTTTTTTCTCTTTCTGGAGAAGAGGAAAGTATATTTCAGTTAATAATATTTTCAGTAATATCGATGTATTTCCACATAGGATTGCAGCCTGCAATTCATTATGCATGTGAGAAAATACTTATATTTATATTTATATAAGAAAATAAAGTAATAAATTATCTACTCCTAACTCCTTTTTTTGAGATCAGATGCATACTGTGATGTTGTGTCTGTTACACAAGCTGAAACACAGTAAACTAGAATGGGACTTACAAGTCCCCCATGGAAAAGAGACCAAATCGCAGAGCAGCTGGAAGTGGAGCTTAAAAAAACAAAGAGAAAAAACAAAGAGAGAGTTGCTTTTAGAAAATAGGGACAAAAGGACAGGGTATTCAGAAGAAATGTGACATGAACTTGGGTCTTTTGATAAGATAAGTAAATTGGAGAGCTTGAAGCCAGCCTATGATGGCCCAGTACAACCTGTTGGAAAAGGGAAATACCATATTACAGAGGCACCATCCTCCATAGTGAAAGACTCTGCTGGAGGAGGGTGCTCTCAGGCAAGGTGACCTCTTCACAAGATTCTTTGAAGAGTACACAGGAAAGTAGGAAGCCTTCTGCAAGGACCCCTGTGCCAAAACTGTGCAAGTAAAACTGCAGAAAAGGAGAGCACAACTGGCAGGAAAAAGTTAATGCAGAGAGTGGATGGAAAATCTACTCTAGTGGGTTGTACTAATGCAGTATTGCATGCAGTAATGCATCTCATATTACTTCTCCAGTATTACGTGATCATTCATAGGTTGGGTTTCCATTTCCAGCATGCCTGGGCTCACACCACCTGCATTTGAGGATTTGAGATATGTAGCAATAAACAGGGTGTATATCCCCCAGACAGAATATGCCCATAGTTTTTTTTTTTTTCTTTTCTTTTTTTTTTTTTTTTATGTTGTGGAGAAAACTTTATCTATGAAAAAAAAGTTTTTGAAGTCATTCTATTCAACCTCTATCTGTATGGTAAATTAAAACATTACACATTTTAAGAAGAGAGATGCAAATCAAGTAATTGAAATAAATAGGGCTAAATTCTTACCTATGACAAAATTCAGCAAGTAAAGATCTGAAAGTGTTTGTCATGAGACGTGCAGTAAGTGGCATGTTAATTTCTACTTATTAAATGCATATAATTAACATTTAACAATTTTAATAATTTTAGAGTATGTAGTGTTTTAAAAATATAATAAGAGTTTTTCTGGCATGAAATTTGAACGTGTGCAATTTTGACCTTTTAGATCTGCAGATAACCAAGTTTTGAAAAGCCAGCTTAGTTAAAAAGTTACTGGAACAGGAACCATATTTACAGGTTCCTTCACCGTGCTGTGTTCTGTTAGTCCTGAGTATGGTTTTCAAAACAGAAGTTTCTTCCAACATTGCAATAATCAAGAGACTGGATGTACATGATCAGCCAAACATGACAATAAGGTTTGGATATTTTTTTTTTTTGCAGGAGGTGACAGGGATTATTAT